CCCACACTTCTTCCTAAAACAAAAGTATGATCCACACGGTTTGCACTTTAGCTGTGACACGGGCACTGAACACACATAGAACAACCCTCTCTCCAGACAATGCAACTCCAATACTGAAAACCACAAGCACAGATAGTCACTGAAAATACTTAGAGTTTGTGCATCAGGCCGTGGTATAAAACTGAGTTTGGTCATTTTGAATTACTCTTGATGATAAGCGTTTGAGGCTCTAGCAAAGTGCACTTGACTCTTTTTCTGCAACTAAGTGAAGGCAGGGACCACTCCGGCAGCCCTTCCTTCCTGAAGGTGCAGCGTGTACAAACCTCGGCTAGGCTTTTCCATTTAGGGCCCCAGATCAGGTCATGAGGTGACTGACGGGCCGGTGGTTGTACAGCTGCACCTTCATCGGGCTCGCTGGGATCAGCTGCTAAGGTCAACTATGAATGTATATTCCTTCTCCACAACACCAGACTTGTGATACTTTGTCAGCTACATTTGTTTTCAGTTCTTGCGTCAACAACCTTGGTACATATGGACGATATGTAGATATGACCTCAAACTGGGCGGCAGCAGCGGTTTAATTTCAGCACTGGGAATAATAATAAAGTGTGAACAGCAGTGGCGTTTCTGTCTGTGGGACAACATGTTCTCACTGGGTTAGCTCAATACTTCTCGCCAGCATCGGTGATACAAACACGTTAACTGATGCCAAGGGCTCTGTACGACTCTCACTCCTCGAGATCCACTTCGGTGAACAATAAGTCATTCACTCCACTGTTTAACAGCATATATACAATAAGGAAATGGTGTTTGTTGTTTCTCTGGATTTCATTTTACCACGCCACACCAGTGGCTCTTTGTCATTATCTGTAATTATAGTATAAATACATAACAATATTATACGGAAACATGCATAGTAATTTCTTGTACTTTAGTATCTATACAATATATGGAATGGACAGACAAACTTAGTTACAGTAGCAAAACAGCAGATTTATAATGGTTAATAGCAATGTTTCAATGTACTCTATAATGGTTTTGTGTTACAGTACTATCAGATGAAACTTAACGTGCATCATTCTTTCGTATCTTGATATCCAGTACCAATTTTGCTGTGCCTGCGAACGTTCCTCCATCACAAGGAGCACTGCAGTTTTTCTTTTCACTTTTGTTTCTGGAAAGGATCGGTTTTTATGTGATGAGAAATGTAACTGTATTAATGGTGGTTGTAAACTTCTTGAGGTCAGCCATTTTGTTTTTATCCCCTCTGGTTGATGTAGTGAATGTTTTTTTTTCTTTGTACGTTTTAACAGGGACTTTTTTTTAGAAGGCTTACTTGATGTGGTATAAATTAAGAGTTTGGTTCAGTGGAGACTCACCAGAAGTTTTAAAGATCTTACCAAAATGCAGTTTTACCATTTTGGAAAACCTCTCATGTCTCCCACCTCTCTCCTCCGAAGCTTTGGTTGTACTTATCATGTACTGTTTTTTTTTTTTTATAGAAAGTCATAATGCTGATGTTGAAAACTTTTAATTTATTTATTTTGTGCAACATCCACCCTGAATTGTTCTTTTACAAGTTAAAGTTTGGGAGAGGTCGGATGAGTACGTATTTGTAATTTTCTAATTGTTTCTTGTGTATAGAAGTTATCAGCCTATGGGATGTGGTGTCACAGAGCGAGCGGCTGTAGGACGTGCGAAAGAGAGGGATCATGGGTCATGAACAAGCTTGTTTCTTATGCCTTGAATATACCTTTGTCTTATTCCTCCTGCTCTCCGTAATAACGGTATTTATGATTTCAACATCATATTTTCTCCCGTTTAAAAAGTGTTTTTTCAATACACATCAACAAAATGAAGGATGACTACCACAGTAAAACAGACCACAAACTACTTGGTTGAATGTATAATTAGGAAACAAAGTTGTAAATACGTGTAAAAAGAAAAGTTTCTAATCATGTTTATTTTCTATGCACTTTTTTATTTAAGTGATAGTTTAAATAATAAACATGTCTCCTTTACTCTTCTTTGTCTCTTGCTTCGTTTAATGAATGATAAAAAACGTATATTATCTTGAAAAATTCCAGCACTGTCTAGCTAATTTATATCTAACAAAAATATATATTCAATTGAATTGTTTAGGTGCTAGGATTCGATCAAATCTCTGCTCTCATGGATGCTGGAAACATCAGTCTGCTTTTTGACGTGTCTTTCACCAAAATGTTCGATCACATGATCTTCATTAGCAGATAGTTTTAAGCCAACAGGATGAGGACTTCTTAAAAAGCTTTTAGAACATTCAAAGAAACTGAAGCTGCATCAAAGGCTCAAGAGGAGCTGCTTAATGGAGCGTATTCTCAAGAGCTGTTTCCAGGTAAGGCATGAACCAGTTTTTTTAGTATAACCCTATGTTTGAATATTTGAATTGTATTATAGTGAGTTTTTATAAACAATGGTATGATATCAGATCAAATTAAACTCTGGGCTCATTAATGTGTTCTTTTTTTGTGTTCAACATCTAGATGTTGAGAGAGAGAGAGAGAGAGAGAGAGAGAGAGAGAAAAAAAAAAGTACATCTGGTTACAGTTCTGTTTCAAATGGGTGTTGAGAGATGTATCCATAGATCTCTTCATGTTGCTCTCAAAGTGCACCAGATTGATGCTTTTAACTTCAATGTTTTAAAAACAAATCTTCCCGGGGGAGCATGCCCCCGGACCCCCCTAGAGGATGTTAGGTACACACACCACATATACAAATACCACTTTACCCCTGCTTACACCTATATGCCGTGAGCTGATTATCAAGCCTTCATTGTAACAGTCACACTGTGTATTTGCGTGGGGATTGTTGCAGTAGAAAATTCCACTGTAGCGACCGGTACATTAATGGGAAACCCTAAATGTTTGAGCACCCTCTATGAAACGTCAAGCTACCCCACAGCACCCCCAAAAGAAATATCTGGCACCGCCACTGAGTCTGCAACCCCGTTTTGAAGAAATGTGCAGTGCAACGCAGGCTCATTGCAGCCATTAATGCTGTGATGAGACACACTTTTTTCTTTTCATTTTTTTGCACAGATTGCAAAGTGGCAAAGTATTATAATTTATTGTTCTAGCAAAGGGATTGCACAATTGTATCATGTATTTGTTTTTTTGACCACACAGACTAATGGAGCATTGTTTTATTATCACTATTCTAGCAAAGTGAGAAAGGAATGCTCACGTTCACTTTGATGTATTTTAATAAATGTTAACTTGGCCCATTACGTGACTATTTGCGATGGGGGGGCCTGACAGATATTTTTTGAGAACCACTGAGTTAACCCAACCATACGTTTACTAAAACTTCATCAACACCACCCATGATAAATCATTTTATATTGCAAGTTGCCAAGTGCTCCGTGTTAACAGTAAATCCTCAGGGCAGCAGTTTATGGATTCTTACAGGAAATTAATGCAGCTGTCCCAGAATGTGCTGAGTCTTGTAATTAAAAACATGTTTAACTCCGCTGCATGGCTCAGTTTCAGCTCACTGCCTCCACAGGAGCTCGCTGAAAACCCCTCCTGCAGTGAGTCAAATTCAAAGGAAAGTCAGAGCTTCTGACCCCCCCCTACTTGGGTAGAGACGTGAAAACTACCTTGTTCCTTCACCAAGCTTTTCGAATAGCACATGGTGTTTCAGTCCAATATAGCCTACCTACCAGAATAATAAGACTGATAATTAATTTAATGTAGCCAGAGATGTGTGTTTTCACAAACTTATGTTATGTTATGTTTTTCCAGACAACCGTTAAATAAAGCTCATATATTCACGTGAGAGTCATCTTTTGCCAAATTAGCACAAAGTTATAGGTGTAAACTTACTGATTAAAACAAAAGTGTTGTGGCTCTGTTAGGCTATATTTGAGCTAAATGCTAACGTCAAAATACCAATACACTCACAGTGACATGCTAAAGTTAGCCAGATATAATGTTCGCCATGCATGTTTATCTTTATTTGGTGTGTTAGCGTGCTAACATTTGCTAATTGGCGCAAAACACCAAGCAACAACTGCTGCTTATATAAATCCTTTTTTTACATGATGGCGGTAAATGAAAAGTTATGGGAACAATTAAATATACGTACGCCTAAGTATTTTTAATTGATCCTTAAAACAACAATAAATTGTATTCTAAATTAAGAGAATCAAACGTAAACCTGTAAAATATACACACAGTCCTGCTGCAAGCTTTCATCCTGCTTATTGTCTGTTTTCTGTTCTTCCTCAGAAATAGGACAGGTTTGGCACAGTTCTGGTGTGCTGTGGGTCACTGCTGTGCGATTACAGTCAAAACATGTTTTCATTGGCCTGAATTTAAGGGAGCTGCTGAATTAAAGAGCTCAAGTTTGGCTTCCTTGCCAAAAAGATATTAAGAGCTCTCGCTTTATCAATTTAACACAGCCACTGAAGGATTTCAGGGAGAAGAGGATTACTGTCAGAAAGACTTGCCTGAGTGCAAGACTGAAAGTAAAGGAAGATGTTATTTTAGCAAATTGTCTCATCCTGCAGGCAGATTAAGAAAATCACAGGGAAGAAAACGTGATTGTGTCTGTTTGCTTTTATGTCATTATATATCTGTATTTATCTCTCTGGATCTTACTTTTCAGTCCGTCTTCAAAACAAGTTTTTGTGTTATAAAGCAAGCACATTCTCAGCTGTGTTTGGTATTGGGATATTTTCCCTTTTCTGTCCACAGCCCTCTGAACTTTCTGTGGTTAAGTCTTGGAGAGTTTCCAAACAATGGTATGCAATGTCCTAAACATCCCTCCTTATCCCCTTCTCATATCGATTTTGTAACACTTTTGTTTGAAATGTTTCTCTTCTATTTGTGCTGGATCACCATCACATATTTTCCTCTGTTTCCACCCTGTTTTCTCTCCTCCACCCTCAATTCCTCCTTTCCCACCCACCGCGGTTTCTAATTGGATTTTATTACCATTCCTTCCAGTTTTTCCCAGGCAGACACAAGGAGGGAGGGACGACTTTCACTTCTCTCCTGGACTCTCTCACTTCAGTAGCGGCTCCCCGAAGACTTCATACTGCATCATCTGGTAAGTCATTTTGATATTTGCCTGAGGTTTTATTATGTTGGCATTTCTCGGCACACAGCTGATCTACACATGTGCAGAGCTGAGATATGCCGGAAGGTTTTAGTGTTGGTAACAGCAGTACTGCCATCTTTGTGCCTTCCTTCAGAGCAACCAGTAAGAACTAAATTACCAGAAAGTGCATCATAGTGTAACGTAGACTGACTGCTGTGTAATGTTTAAAACATTAAGGCAGTGGAGTATTCAGATCCTTCTGTACATGTAGCACAACCGCAATAAAACGTTTGCATACAAAATCATACTTTAAGTTAAAAAAGTGTTACTGATGTATTCAAAGTTAAGTACTATTTAGATGTTGTAGCTGGTCAATGTGGACCCAATTTTAACTAGCATATCTTGTTGGATTATTTTTTTCTTAAATCAATCTATCACATTCATGAGCCCTTATTATAATCTAACAATCTTACTATATGAATTAAGCAGGCAATTAAAGCTGTCAGTTAAATGAGTGGAGTAAAAAGTACAATGATTCTCTCTGAAATGTATTGTTTAAAAAGTAAATTAGTGGCCTAAAGATTGTACTATGCAGTACTTCAGAAAACAACCAACTTCCAAGTGGTACAAAGTCTAAAGAAGTGTGTTGTACAGTTCATATGTCTGTTTTCCACCTATAAGTAAACATACATTCATCTCTTGTTGGTTTTCTTCATAAATTCATGCCTAAAGCAGTCGTTCAGACAGCTGTTCAGACTCTCCAGTATTTGTCCTCTGTCTGCTCTTCTCTTCTGCCAGGAACGCTGACATGCTTTTTTCTCTCTTTCTGTTTCTTGTTGCCCTCCTCCTGTGTCTCTCTGTTATTTTACAGCTGTTGTGGTCGTAGCCTCTCAATAACAATAAGTGGACCTCCAGATAGATGACAAAGCACTATTACTGTTCTCATGATTGTCTCACACCGCAAACAGCGGGGTTTTACTCATAAACATGGAGTCCACGAGAGAGCTGGTAGCAGAGCTCCTGCTCAGCTCATCAGTTCTCTTTATGGTCCTGTGACGCCGCCATGCTGCCAGACAGACGGCCGGACAAGGTCACAGGGAAGGAGAGATAAACAAAATCCAGGAAAACAATGTAGGGGGGTGTGAAACCAGATACTGATTATATACAGGCTAGGCAGCACTACAGTTCATGTCTGTTATACTGTCCGGTAAATCTGGGAATTGATGATACACAAACAGGAAACAGAAGCAGATGGAAAGAGAACATTTGAGGTTACTTATTTTAACTTTTATGAGTAACTGTTTCTGAGAAGTCTGTCTGGTATTCAGCATCACATCGCATTTGTACTAGTGAAATCTGCATAGAAACCAAGAGTGCCTTATTTTGTTTTTAAAGATATAAAAATATATGGCGCCAATAATTAGTGTTATATTAGCCTCCTTATTTGAAAAACGAATATTTCGCATTAAACTTTATTAACTCTAATTGTGTACTCTGCAATTACACCAATGTATAATATAACATTATATATAGTAAAATGCATTTGGTCTCATGGATGATGGAAAAATCTATTTTTGGTTTCATTTTATTCCATTTCTGGTCAATTCCATTTAATTTTTCTCCCCATTACATCCCACCAAAGGCTTCCCTGAAACAGAGCATGCTGTTTTCACTATCATCATAACTCTCAACCTTTTATCAGAGAAAGCTGGGGGAAACATAACTACACCTGTGATAATAAACACAAGCTCCATGTCAGTGTGTCTACAGTCAAATCCTAGAAAAGCTCTCCAATTATAAGCCTGTTTTAATATTTTTAAAGCTGATAGATTTAATTAAGATACCTGGGTGGAGTTGGACACTTTCACAAGTCATCTGTTTTAAATTACTGGTTTCCTATGAATTTTGGCAGTACTGACATATAATGAGTAATGCCGGCTCAGTAATATAATAAGGTCATTTCAGTTTTACTTTGACCTCGTTCTGCCCAAGGCATTTCATATAAAAAAACATACATTTGTATTATAATAATTTACATTCATTTGATCCATTTACTTAACTGCATCTCAAGTATAGCTTTTGTAATCCTGTGCCACAGAGTGATTGACAAAAAGAGGTAAACTAAAGATAAATGATGATGTTACACTGTGTGATTAAATACGCTGCAATTTCAATATTTATATGTGCTTTCCCAGACTCTGTGATCTGATGAAGTTGATTTGCAGTGATGTTTATAGTGGCATTTGTGGTGCTCTTTAGCTTAAACACATCACTATTCTCCCATTGTATGTCGTACAGTCTAAACGTTGGTGTTTCTCTTCCACAGACTCGTTTGTAAACCTTATTTCCTTTATCTTAACCCTGTCCAAACCCTTTTTCTCTTTTGTCCCTCAGCCCTGACGCTGCAATGTCCTCGCTCCGGCTGTTACCTCTGTTGCACTCCCTCCTTCTCCTCCAAGTTCATCTCTCAGACCAGTTAGAAGACAACAAGATCCCCCCCAGTCTGTGCACTGGTCACCCCGGTATCCCCGGCTCTGCTGGAGCTCACGGTGGTCCGGGTCAACCAGGAAGAGACGGGAGGGACGGGAGGGACGCTGCTGCGGGGGAGAAGGGACAGATAGGGGAAACAGGAGACCCAGGTGCTTTATTTAATTTATTCATGTTCGAGTATGTGACAGAGGTGTGGACTCCAGTCCGACTGAAGTCAATAATGTAAAGACTTATAACTCGACTTGGACGACTACACTAATGAGGCTTACGACTTGAAAGTACATGATCACTTCCCCCAAGTCTGAAGATTAAAATAAGGGTACCACAATTTAATTCATTTCCCTTCATTTTGAATTGTTAAAATAAAACTATTCCATACCAGTAAGTTATAACACATGTATCTTTTGTGGCACATACAGTTCATGTCATGTCATGTGACCCAATGACTGCAAGTCAATGCAGCCTTGTAACAAGAAGGACCTACCTCTTCATATTGGATATTAGTGCTTTTTCTATTTATTATGAATAGTTTAATGAAGGTTCTACATTTTTTGATGAATAGTCCAAATTCTTTTCAACAGCTTCCCTTTCAGGTGAACCATTGACTCCCAGTCCGTATTACTACTACACTTGTCAAGAAATATGCACCAATTTTAATAGGATTTTATTGCTTTTTCCTTTTTACCTGAATATTGTTATAAAGATTTAGCAGTTTCTGTTTTAAAAGGTCTCATGTCGTATCAATGGCTTCAATGTCATTCAACCCAATGACTCCAAATCAATGCAGCATTGTATTACTACACTTGACGAGTAAAACACACCACTTTATATAATAATTGTGACTTGGTCCCACCTCTGTTATGTGAGGCATATCTGAAGTTAATTCTGATGTCTGTGCTCCTCCAGGTGAGACAGGAGTGCGAGGCCTGACGGGGGACAGAGGTGATAATGGAGAAAAGGGGGAGAGGGGTCAGGCAGGAGAGTGTGCAGTGGCCCCAAAATCTGCCTTCAGTGTCAAACTCTCCGAGGGCCACGCTCTACCCCTCACTGTGGGCGATGTGGTCCGTTTTGACCAGGTTGTGATCAATGAACAGAGCGACTACAACACGGAGACGGGACGCTTCACCTGCAAAGTACCAGGAGTGTACTACTTTGCAGTCCACGCTACAGTGTACCGAGCCAGCCTGCAGTTTGACCTGATGAAGAACGCACACATTGTGGCATCTTACTTTCAGTACTACGGCAACTGGCCTAAACCAGCGTCTCTGTCGGGCGGCTCCCTGCTCCACCTCGTCCCTGGGGACCAGGTGTGGGTCCAGATGGCTCTCTCGGAGTACAATGGGTTTTACTCCAGCACAAAGACAGACAGCACCTTCAATGGCTTCCTGGTCTACTCAGACTGGAAAAACTCTGCTGTGTTTGCATGACACGTGCCTATGAACAAAACAAAGTCATATTCTACTTTGGGAAATGACACAACCTGCCTTTTATTTTCCTTTTTCAGTTTTCTAATTGAATAGTTCTGGATAGGCAGTGACTTGGTACATCTGTATTTGTGTAATGAGTATAAAACACTCCAGACTTTGTTACTTTAATGGCACATGCCTTACTGGTGAAGTGTGAGGCATATGCGCTGTTTACTCAGTGTCTGTTCTTTATCTGCTGCCTTTAAACTGCTGCAACCTTCAATCTTGTAACAGATGTTTTGACAACGGCCTCCAGCCAACAACAGCCTACAAGTTCAAACTGCTTTTATGTTTTGTATTACACTTTTGTTTTCCTCAATAATATCTGCACAACAAAAAAATCATTGTGTTTTGAAAACACAAGTGACTGATATTTATTTTACCATAAATACCAATGCACGCTTTTTTTACACTTATAAGTGAGTTCTACAATTTGAGCTTCAATTTTTAAACTTGATATCTGTGTCAGTTTCACATAACATACCTGCCTGTGGACACCTCTGTTTTATTATATATACATGTACATACTTCACATTACATGCAGTTTTCAGAAAAAGTACTCCGATCCTTTACTATTAGTACCAATGAAACAGTGTAAAAACACAATTCCTAAAAATCCCTACTGAAGTTGATTATGAGCAAATTGAAATTAGATTCTTGACCTTTCCTATCACATTTATTTTTTGTTTTCACTGTGGTCTTTTAGTGTGTACACATTTATTTTAAAGTTAAGTAGTCTTTCTGCAGAAAAAGTGTCCCTTTCGATATATATTATGAAATAGCTACATTTTCTTAGTGTGACTAGCTTTTTACTGTTATAGCTGGGGTTGAGGTGGAGGAGCTGGAACTCTACAAACATATTTAAGTCCAATAATTCTAATGGTCCAACTCCCTGGTTTTCTTTTCCAAAGGCAAAGCACTATCAAAGTAAATGAAAAAGTCTGGAGAATCATTTTTTTATACTGGATTTACACTTTGACCTCGGCCTAATGGTTTCACCAAACGCTGTTAGCCTCTCCAGCTTCACTTCAACACGAGAGCTGCTTCATGTAAGTCATCTCCTTCTTCTAGTGATATCTTAAAACAACAACAACATGTTTTGGTTTCCCAGTTTACTTAGCTGAGTCTCTCAGAGTGTCTCCTGACATCTTTCTTGAGGCGGGCTTGTTTATTCAGGAGGGTAAACAAACACTGACAAGACCAGAACCTAAGTAAAGTCTTTCTGTGTCTGTCAAGTATGCTGCCTCACATATGAGGAAATGTCCTTTTTCCTTTACTCCCTGAGAATACTACACATAATTAAGTGTTGACTATGTCCTCATAACTTTCCTTCTCAGGCAGAATGAGTGAAGCAGGGAGTTAATCAATCTTCCCCTCAGTTTTTTCCATTAGTTCACAGCCTGTGAATATCTCTGCTGGAAGCTGATGGCTAAGCAGTGACAACACTTCCTAAAATATTGAGCTCTCATTGGTCAGTGATGTCAGCGGTGAAGGAGGGTAAGAGTCTGACGTCTGAATTAAAGCTTTCATGCTGCAGTAGAAATAGTCAGACACCAGTGAGCATAATCAACATATTCATGGCATCCACTGTAAAATATATTTTACTGTCTGTGAAAATGCCTCTAAAATTCTATTCTTTTCCCCCCTTAATGATTAAATTAAGTTGAATTATACTTTGCACCCTGCATGATATTCCTAGGTCAACAAGTAAAGCATGAAAACAAACAAACAGATTTGTCGTTTTTATATTTAGATTGTTGGTGTTTTAATTTAGACAATTATGAATTATTTAGTTATGAACTATTTTATGTTCACCCCTATTTTCTAAGCTAAGCTAATCACATGCTGGTGGTACCTTTATATTCACACATTATGAAACACATACGTGTGGGCATCTGGAGTGCCTGCACACCAAAACATCTGTGAAATTAGACGACTCAGTCAGTTTAAGGATGGCTGCCTTGCTCAGAAAACATGCCATTTAGATTTGAATGTCTTGAGTACTAACCTTTTCAGTTTTTCTTGCAAGACAATCAGAGCCGACTGAGCAGCTTCTTCAGGAGGCTCAGAGTTCCCGGCGGTATGCCAGGTGTACTAGGGAAAGGATAAATACAGGTATGTTCAGAAAAGACAGTGAGAGAAATGTAAAGGTCACCTATTATGCAAAATCCAGTATGAATACTTTCCGGATGCACTGTATCTGAGACCTATAATATATTGATGAAAAACAGTATAATAGGGGACCTTTAAGGGCGTTCAGTGTAAAAACCGTTTCAAAAAACATGTCTCGATTGTGTTTAATTGTAATTTGTGTAAACATCTTCCTTTAGGTTTCCAAAAACATCACATTACCGGAAACAACACATTAAATCATAGTCCTCAATAAGAGAGCAAAACATAAAATAGAGCCAAAACATTTGTGATCAACAAAGGGATACATACAGCTAGAACCAATAGATAACAGACTTTTACCAACTATTTATCGCTCTGTTTTTGGCTTGATCTCCATCAGATCGTTCAGCTGTAACTGGAGGCCCAGCTCTGACCAGCAGGGGGCAGTGGAGCTTCACTGTGGAGCATCACTGCAGCAGCTGACTGTCTGACATCAGAGGAGGATCATGATTCATCACTCTGTGCTTCACATCGCGTGGGCAAGACAGATCATCTCACCCATCTGTATGCACAGCCTGAGCGCCCTGAGGAGCCTCTGTGATGAGAGCAACACTGGCTGAGAGTGTCAGAAAGAAGTCACCCAGGAATCTATCAACACCTCTTGGCTACAAATGAGCTCTATTATGTATTAATCATAATGACATTCATCTCAATTTACAAGCTAGTGTAAGAAATTGTTTCCTTTCCAAATCAGATGTTAAGCATTTATAACACCTGCTCGCATGAGATCAACTCAAGATGTATGGTAATAAGGTACATTTAAAAAATAATTGTACGTTAATAACTGAACATTTAAGGCTTTAACTGACAAATAAGTGGCATTTAAGTGGACAAAATCCACTTAATGTATTATTTGTTTGGTTTAATATTACTAAAATGGTTAAATGCTAACCAGATGAATCATATTTATTAAAATAAAACCCCATTTGCACTTTTTGCATGCTAATACAGTTACTTTAAGAAGCTGTGAATACTTAATGGTTTTTGAACGGTCAGCAGATCTACATGCAATATGAATAACTTAATACTACCACAGGGGAGCGAGCAAGAGTTTTATTAGAACTACAGTACTACTGTGACTTTGTAGTACATGTTGAGGACTGTTTTATATATGTTTAAACTTTAATATATTGTCATTAATTTTCATTATAATTATTAGTTTTCACAATCCTGAGGAGCTACTCAATAGTTTAAAAGTATGTAATTGCAATCTTTACTATGACTGAGAACTTTTGCATGTTTTTGTTGGATTGGAATTTGAGATCAACAATTGTCAATTAAATACATTTGTGCTGAAGTATTGTACTAAACAAATACTTGCTGTTATGACACAAGTCTTGAAGTTTACTTTACACTTTGTTTCCCTTGTAAGGTTATCTCTGAGAAGACTTTTAAAAGGAAAACATCAGTCTTTGGAGAGCGTCATTGAATCAAGATATTCAGCGTGTTCTCCTATTCAGAAGGTGTTTCTTCGGCCTGTTAGACTGCACATAGTTACTAAGCTAATTAAAACCTTCAACAGCTAATAAAAAAGCTGTTTGTATTTATAGTGGGTTCATTTTCATTTTCATTCTTCTCGAGTGAAACAGTACACATATAAAGTATTGATGTCATGGTTTGGTTTCCCCACAGTACCGACTCAGGTACCAAATGCATCCATCCATCCATCCATCTTCTCCCGCTTATCCGTGGTCGGGTCGCGGGGGTAGCAGTTCCAGCAGAGAGCCCCAAACTTTCTTTTCCCTGGCGACATCAACCAGCTCTGACTGGGGGATCCCAAGGCGCTCCCAGGCCAGCGAAGAGATATAATCCCTCCACCTGGTCCTAGGTCTACCCCTTGGTCTCTTCCCAGCTGGTCGTGCCTGGAACACCTCCCTAGGGAGGCGCCCAGGTGGCATCCTAACTAGGTGATCGAACCACCTCAACTGGCTCCTTTCGACGCGAAGGAGGAGCGGCTCAACTCCGAGTCCCTCCCTGATGACCGAACTTCTCACCTTATCCCTAAGGGAGACACCAGCCACCCTGCGGAGAAAACCCATCTCGGCCGCTTGTATCCGCGATCTCGTTCTTTCGGTCATGACTGTGATGCTGACAATTGAGCGGCCCAGACCAAGCAAGGAGGCAGAGGCAGCACGTCCCAAATATAACCCGGTGTAGGCATTTATTACAGCATGAACACAATACACACAGCCTCAATCCTGCTGCTGCTGTTCACGTGGGCACAGCCTGCAGCACCAGGATCTCACACACACTACCAGCCTCACTAACAGCAAAACCCCAAAGCCTAAATGCCCAACCCAATCAACCCAACAGGACACAGGTGAGGGGGGAGGAGACAACACAGGGCACCAGGTGCACACAATCAACGACAGAAAGGGGAACACTTTTCAACAACAAAAAACGAAACAACCCGTAACGGAGGCCGAGATCTATGAGCCCAGAGATCACCTCCGTGACAATGACCCATCCTTCATGAACATAGGTGAGGGTAGGAACGAAAATGGCCCGGTAGACAGAGAGCTTTGCCTTCTGGCTCAGCTCCCTTTTCGTCACAACGGTGCGGTCAAGCGACTGCAGTACCGCTCCGATTCTCCGGCCCATCTCACGCTCCATTCTTCCCTCACTCGAGAACAAGACCCCGAGATACTTGAACTCCTTCACTTGGGGTAAGGACTCATTCCCTACTTGGAGTGGACAGTCCATCGGTTTCCTGCTGAGAACCATGGCCTCAGATTTGGAGGTGCTGATCCTCATCCCAGCCGCTTCACACTCGGTTGCGAACCGATCCAGTGAGTGCTGAAGGTCGCAGACCGATGAAGCCATTAGAACCACATCATCTGCAAAAAGCAGTGGTGCAATCCTTAGTCCACCGAACTGCAGACCCCCTCCCCCATGACTACGCCTCGAAATCCGATCCATGTATATTACAAACAGGATTGGTGACAAAGCGCAGCCCTGGCGGAGGCCAACCCTCACCGGAAATGGGTCCGACTTACTGCCGAAGACCCGGACACAGCTCTCGCTTTGGGAGTACAGAGATTGGATGGCCCT